GGCAACACTGAGGGTTGCGATCCATTGCCGGACACGGAAAAAGACAAAAGACAAAAAAAGATCCCCTTACCAGTCATCTTTTTAAAAAAAAAATAATAATAAGGGAAAAGGTGAATAAAAACCAAAGACCATGGATTAAAACTCTCAGGGCAAGTGCTTTTCAACCTAGAATGTGACCAGAAAGTAGATGGCCAGGCAAAAAGATATTTGCTCTCATAGCAGACAGTGGAGTTGGCCCTCCATATCCCTGGGTTCTGCATCTGTGGGATCAACCAACCATGGATGGAGAATATTAAAAAAAAAAAAAAAAAAGAATTATTGCATCTGTACTAAACATGTACAGACTTTTTTTTCTTGTCATTACTCCCTAAACAATACAGTAATACAGTATAACAACTATTTGTAAATGCTATCATTTACACTGTATTAGGTATTATACGCAATCTAAAGATGATTTAAAGTGTATGGGAGGGTATGAATATGTTATATGCAAATACTACACCAATTTCTATCAGAAACTTGAGCATCTGTGGATTTTGGCATCCACAGGGTGTCCTGGAACTAATCTCGAGGGATAACATTATTTCAAGAGCTACTCAGCTGAGTATTAAGGCAATAAAATAATCACAAATCAGACTTGTTTCAACTATTGTATAGAAAAAAGCCATTATATAGAAAAAAGCCATATTGTAGAGAAAAAAGCCTGAACTCTAATTCATTCCTTCAATGTCCTATTTTCTTAACATAGTCAAAAAAGAAGAGGTTTGTTACTAATGAATTAAAGAACTCACAGAGACTCTAGGAGTAACATGGGTAATTTTCAAGGAAAAGTGAAATTCCTAAAAAAAAGCTTGTATATTTTCTCCCAATGAGAAAAAGTTTAAATGTCTATCAGGGAGAAGCTATTTTGTAACTACTTTTAAAGTGTATTTCTCCCATGGGAGTCTCTACCTAAGAAGTAATAATGATAACAATAAATTATTCTAGTCAAAATGAGAATTGTCCACAACATTTTTTTTTTTTTTATCTTTTTCCATGTCCGGCAACGGATCGCAACCCTCAGTGTCGCACCCGTACCGGACCAGGACCAGCAACGGGATTCCTGGCTATAACTGCAAAATGTAAAAATATGGTTATGAGAGAGAATTTGAAGACCTATCATATGTGCTCTCCTTTATTTTTACAACTTTTATTTTAAAGATATCATAAGGACATCAGAAATAAAAATTGCCACATGTATGTGTGTAGTTTTGAGGAATACCAATGTATGTACAAGGGTACCAAATGCATGTACAAATTCATGGAAAGATTCATTTTATCTTTTAATTCTGTTTCCCCACGAACTTTCTGAAGCACCCTCATATGTAAGAAATGCATGTATAAATGTAAGAAATACCATGTAATGTATGTGCCTGCCCGCAAACAGGCCATAAGCAGAAGTGCTGCCTGCACGGTCCCATCTCCACATGATTTCTCAT